TCATACACCGGTGGCCTATGTGTTGCTACGATGCCACCAGCTATGCGATCGATAACTTAAATCCCAGCAAGGTCACCCAAAGTGGATAGGTTTCAGTAGAGTCCCTGACTAAGACAGAGTAGGAAGACAGGGCTGGCTAGCAACTTCTCTGAAATTAGCCCATGAAAACCCCGGGTCTCACAACACACCGTCTCCCGAATGGTGTGCTCGACGGTAAGCCCACTGGCTAAGAGAACTGCCCTTGTGGGTTTCGGAGACCGGAGGAGAAAGCCTCCTCTTTCCCGGAAGGCGCAGCGGATGGGTTACAAGGGTTGAGCTGGCAGTTAGCTGCCCAACATGGCTGTGCCCCCCACCCCCACCCCCCTGTGCTTGAGGTGCCCAGAGGAGGCAACCCAGCATCCCAGTACCCGGAGGGCTGTGACGATGGGGCGGCCACGGGAGTTGCTGTTCTGTCCCCATGGGGTTCAATGGGAATGTTGAGTTGTAGATGAAAACTGCAGGTTGGGATTCAATCCCAGACCGTGGGCCCCAGAAGGTGGCCTCCTGGCCTCAGCAGAAGGGACCTGCCATCAGTGCTAGCGGGCACGAACAAACTCCACAGTCTCCCTCCGCAGAGATTTCCCCGGCTCGGGCTGAGCATCTGCCGTCGCTCAAGGTACCAAGGTGGCTGCTTTCGCTGTGACCTTGTACGTGGACCACTTCCAGAGCACAGGAGGGGCAGAAGAGTAAGCGCTTTTCACCATAGGTCACATGATTGGGGAGAGGCAATCTTAGGCCTGCAGATAAAAATAAACAGCTATCAACCTAATGCCTCCCAGGGTCTCTCTTTGGATTCTACTCCCACTCTAAAGTCTGCTCCCCACAAGGGCTCGAGTAGGTGTGAAAGTGTTTGGGAGCCTGAAAGGGCCTGAGGAGACCACTGATCCCTTTTCCACTGTATGGGGTTTGGGGAGGGGTGCGGGGGAAGGAACCAGGCCCATATTTCCATAAGCAAAAGACGTATATTTTGTAAAGTGTTACACACCATTTAACTGGACTTTGGAATCACTCACAAGAAAGACAGAAAGTCAGTCTCTCTGTGTTCTCGCTCAGCCAGCTAGCTGGCTGGCAGGAGGACCAGACTCACAGATTGATAAAGTCTGAGGCTGATGCTGACACCAGGGTCCAGAGGTAGGGCAATTAAGGGGGTCATTATGGCCCAGGCAGATTTCCCCAAAAGGATCAACTTTTACTGAAAAGCTGAACTAAGCCATCTGCATTACTTCCCTAGGGCTACCGTAATTACCCTGATGGGACTGGCTGAGCACAGAAATGTATTCTCTCCCAGCTCCGGAGGCTAGGAATTGAAATGCGGGGCGTCAGCAGGGCCATGCTCTCTTCCAAGACTCCAGGGGGAGAGCCTGCCTTTAGTTTTCCAGCTCCTGGCGCTCCACGTGTCCCGTGGTTTGCGGCAGCAGTCCTCCGAGCTCTGCCCATCTGTACACGGCCATTTCCCCTCTGTCTCTTCTCTTACTCTTACAAGGACACCATTCATATGCGATATGAACGAGCCCACTCCAGGAGGGCTCCACGGAACTGGATGACAGCTGTAAAGATCCTGTTTTGAAGAAAGTCCCAGTCCCAGATTAAATGAGGATCTGAATGTATCTCTTGAGGCTGGTGGTGGGGGGGGGGGGGGCGGCAAACCAACCCAGAACACCTCCCATACTAAAACATCCCAGCTAAGTTTTGAGAGTTCATGATTCTTTCACACTTTGTCTCTTCAGCTTCCCCAAGTCATCCTATAGCAACAACCCCCAGGGAAGTCCTGAGAGGTGTGTGGCAGGGTGGTATCGTTTCACCTTTACTTCTCCAATCTGTATGCTGGACAACTAATCCAAGAAGCTGGATTAGAGGAAGAAGAACAAGGCCCCAGGATTGGAGGAAGACCCCAATATGCAAATGATCCCACCTTGCTTGCTGAGAGACAAGGGGACTTGAAACCCTTGGTGATCGAGAGCAGCATGCTGCCTTCAAGATGGAGTACAGCTCATTGTCAACAAAGCTCCTCCTCACACTGGATCAGGAAGTACCAGCATGTTGTTGTTGTTAGTTCCGACTCATATTGACTCTTGGTACGACAGTGGGAGATGCTGCCGGGTCCTGTGCCACCGTCATTAATTGTTCTTATGTTTGAGGCCATTGTGGCAGCCACTGTCTCAACCCCACTCCTCAAGCCTTTCTCTTTCCACTGCCCTTCTACTTTACCAAGCACGATCGTCTAGTGCAGGGACGAGTCTCTCCTGATAACAGGTCCAAAGGATGTGAGATGAGTCTCCCCATTCTCGCACTCTAGCTGTACGTCTTCCAAGCCAGATCGGTTTGCTTGTCTGGCAGGCCCTGGGACTTTCCACATTCTTCACCAGCTCCCTAAGTCCAGTGCACCGCTTCTTCTTCAGTGTTCTTTGCTCACAGCACACACAAGCACCACAGTACAACCGCAGGACAGACAAGTGGTAGAACATCATCCTAGAGAAACCGTCCCTACCTGGTTATGCAAATTATATATGCCTCTAATTTGTGTTGGTGTTTCCTGGACACACTGGTACAATGAGAAGCCACATTAAACAGAGAGAAAGGATCTTTCTATTATGGTTGAGAAATAGTAAATGGGACTCTCCTAGATTCAGTGAATAGAAGGATGTCAACTCCCTCCTGCGTTAGTAGAGCACTGGGGGGTTGGGAAGGGTGTTCTCCGTCCATAAGCTCAGTAGACAAGATGGGGAGTAGGGAGAAGAGATGGAGGAAGGGGCTATTGTTATAAAGGAGGTTTTTTGGGTCCAAGAAGGTTTACTAACTCCTCAAGGGCATCTCATTTAAAACGCCTGGGGGGAAATCTGAAGTTAAGTTCTTCCTGTGCTTTTTCTTGTGCCCAAGGTTGGCTCCCCAAGGGAAAGGGAAAGAACATAAAGGGAAGGGGAAGTTTTTAAAAAGGGAAAAGAAAAAGAAGATTAAGAGAGGCTGGGGAATATTAATGGGGTGGAGAAGATACTACGAGAGGGAGAGAGATGAAAAGAAAAGGGAAAGGAGAGAAAGCAAAAGAGGCACAAGACTTGATCTTCAAATCCCCTTCCCAGCTGATCCACAGCATTACATTGGAAGTTAGACTAGGAGCCAAGCCCTGCACGCCCCCTGCCGGAGAGATGGGGCACTCACCCTAGCTGCGCGGCCAGTGGGGGGCGGACACCCTACCCCAAACCAAGCCAACTGTCCTTAAGTCTGGGGCACCTCATAGTGACCCCACAGGGCTGAAAAGAACTGGTCATCCGTTTGCATGAGAAGAATATTGTTCCATGGATTCCCCAAAGGACAAAAATCTGGCCAGGGAGCTCCTTCGAGG